AGTAAAGTTAATCAAGGAGACCACACGAGTGCTGTGCATCTTAGCATCCACGCACGAGTGGATAACAGGAGCTCGAACTTACGTTCAGCCTCACAAGAATGGCCCTGATGGGGCCATGTCGTGAGACGGGTAACGATAAACCTGGGTGATCATACCATGATGCAAGTCATCAAGATCCAGGGTCAGCCAAGCGGGTGCCAATCGGGTCCAGGATGAAGCCTCCTGGGCGCCGCTTAAGCGTCTCTTGGGGCCTCTCTGAGGTGGTGGTGGTGGTGGTGGGCCGTGGTGGTGGTGGTGGTGGTGGTGGCAGTGGTTATGGTTATGGTGGTGGTGGTGGTGGTGTGGTGGTTGGTGGTGGTGGCGGTTGTGGTTGTTGTGGTGGTTGTTTCGGCAGGTTGTGGTGGTGGTGGTGGCGGTGGTGGTGGTGGTGGTTCGGTGGTTTCTGGTGGTGGTGGTGGTGGTAGTTGTGGTGGTGGTGGGTTAAGGTGGTTGTGTTGGTGGCGGTGGTGGTGTGGTGGTTTGTCGTGGTGGTGATGTGGTGGTGGTATTGGTTCTGGTGGTGGTGGTGGGTTGTTGTGGTGGTGGTGGTGGTGGCGGTGGTGGTGGTGGTGCGGTGGTTTCTGGTGGTGGTGGTAGTTGTGGTGGTGGTGGTGGGTTAAGGTGGTGGTGGTGGTGGTTGTGGTGGTGGTGGGTTGTTGTGGTGGTGATGTTGTTGGTGGTGGTTGTGGTGGTTGTGGTGGTGGTTTGTTGTGGTGGTGGTGGTTGTGGTGGTGGGTGGTGCTAGTGGTGGTGGTGGTGTGGTGGTGGTGGTTGTGGTTGTGCTGGTTGTGGTTTGATGGTTTGTTGTCGTGGTGGTGTAGTGGTGGTGGGTGGTGGTGGTTGTGGTGGTGGTGGTGGTGATGTGGTGGTTTGTGGTGGTGGTGGTGGGCAGTTGTGGTGGTTTGTGGTGGTGGTGGCGGTGGTGTCGTTGGTTGTGGTGCTGTGGTTTATGGTGGTGCTGGCGGTGGTGGTGGCGGTGGTTTGCGGAGGTGGTGGTGATGGTAGTGGCGGTGGTTTGTGGTGGTGTTGTGGTGGTTTGTGGTGGTGGTGGTGGGCTGTGCTGTTGGTAGTGGTGGTGGATGTGGCGGTGGTGGTGGTGGTGGTGTGGTAAATTGTGGCGGTGGTGGTAGTGGTGGTGGGTTGTTGCTGTGGTGTTGGTGGTGGTGAGTTGTTGTTGTTGTGGTGGTGGTGGTGGTGGTGGCTGTGGTGGTTGTGGTTGTGTGGTGGTTTGGTGGTGGTGGTGGTGGGTTGAGGTGGTGGTAGTGGTGGTGGTGGTATAGGTGGTGGCGGTGGTGGTGGTGGCGTTGTGGTTTGTGGTGGTGGTGGTGGGCTGTGGTTTTGGTGGTGGTGGTGGTGCTGCTGGTAGCGGTGCTGGTGGTGGTGTAGTGGTGGTGGGTGGTGGGTGGTGGGTGGTGGTAGTGGTGGTGGTTGTGGTGGTGGTGGTGGTGTGGTGGTTTGTGATTTTCTTGGTGGGTTGTAGTGATGGTTGGTGGCGGCGGTGGTGGTGATGGTGCTGGTAATCTTGTGGTGGTTTGTGTTGTTGGTGGTGGTTGTGATGTGTTGTGGTGGTGCTGGTGGTGTTGGCGTTTTTGGTGGTGGTGGTGGTGGTGGTGGTGGTGTAATGGTTTGTGGTGATGGTGGTTGTTGTGGTGGGGGTGGGCTATGGTGGGTTGTGGTGGTGGTGGTGATTAGTGGTGGTGGTGGTGGTGGTGGTGATGGTGTTGTGGTTTGCGGTGGTGGTGGTGTGGCCTTCGGCTCTTCCCGCCACCGTGTTTTGGCTGTGCGCCAGAGTTCTCATGGATGTTTCTTGACGTCTCGTCAGAAGGGTTTCGGCGGCGTCTGAGGAACATGTTTGAAGCCTCGTGTACTTTCCTAAGGTCATCTCGGTGGCTTCTGGGGGGGCGAGGGCTCGATATGGCGATTTGTGTGTTCCCTCTGCGGCCTCTAGGCCCCCTCTGGTCATCGTCGCTGCGTCCCCGCCGTCGGCGCTGCTGGCGGCCGCCAGCGCCGGCGCCGGCGCTGATGGGGGAGGTTTGGACCCCCGCCCCCGTTTAGGAGGGGGGGGTTCGGGAGGGGGGGTGTTAGGGAGGAGGGGGGTCCCCCTGATTCTGATCGACGGCGCCGAGTGTTGGGGGGGGGCCATCCCCCGTTTCGATACGCGCCGCCGAATGTTCCCAAGGCAAGCGCCCGTGGAACGCGCTTTGTCATATGTTACTACGTATTTTCATTGTTAAATTGATATCTGAGAGCCTGAGGCCTCTTGTATGTTTTTTGGGGATATCGTCGATACCTCTGGGAGGCCTACTGGACGCAGTTTTGAGGCCTCTGGGGGATTTCCTTTTGGGTTTTTCGGGGGGCCTCCTGGGGGCCTCTTGGGGCGGAAGGCTCTGATTTTCGGTTCGCGTTGTCCCTCTTGGGCCTCTCTTGGGGAGCTCTCTTGGGCTATCTTGGGCTGTTTTGGGGCCCTTTGGTCCTGCCGGCAGTTTTGAGGCCCTTTGGGGGCTGTTTCTGGGTGTCTTGGGAGCCTCCTGGGCACCTCTTGTGTTTTTTTGGGGGGTCTCTTGGGGCCTCTTGGAGCGGAAGGCTAGGATTTTCGGTTCGCGTTCCCCCTGCTGGGCCCCTCCTTGGGCCGTCGTGGGGCTCTCCACGGTTGTTTTGGGCGGCTGTTGGGCCGCCTTGGGGCCTTTGGGCCCTCTGCAGGACCTCTTGGGCCGTCTTGAGGCGGTCTTCAGGGCCTCTTGGGCCGTTTTGGAGCGTCGGAAGCTCGAAAGTCGGGACCCCCCAAAACATAGCAACCAACGGTCAATCAATGATTTTGGCCTTTTTTGGGCCGCCTCTTGGGGGTCTCTTGGGGGGCATCCTGGGTGCTTCTTGGGGGTATCTTGGGGGCCTCTTGGAGCCTCCTGGGGGTCTCGTGGTGCCTTCCCGGGGAGCCTCGGGGGCCATCTTGGGACCATCTTCGAGGAGATCGATGACAGGAGGGGGGCTCTCTAATTAGGCCCCTAGCCCAGGAGGCCAACCTGTGGCCCAAAAATTGGTAGCATGAGTGATTTTTGCATTCTCGCCGAGGACCCGCGGAACGCCAGTCCAGGTCCAGTAGCAGGGGGTAGGGGGAGGGGTAAACCCTTCCCGAAGGGGAAGAAGAGGGTTTTAGGAGGAAGCCCTCTGAACCACGCACGCCCTACAGGGCTGATGGGATTGACAAGGTGTGCACGTTGCTCTCCTCGTTTGGCGCCTGGGAAACAGGCCCGCCTCGTGACGCACACACATGCATGCACACACGTGTATATATTTATGTACATTTTTACACATGCATATACATATGCACATTCATACATATGTTTACACATATATAGTTGCACATCCATATACATGTACATATGCAGTTGCGTATGTCTGCACACATTAACATGCATATACATCTACATATGCATATGCAGGCACATGTACATACACATTTCCATACACAAGGACATGCGATGTACACACATGTACACACATTTGCACATACACATCCACATACATATTCACATACGCTTGCAAATACATATACATAAACATACACAAGTGTACATACATGTATACATATATATGGATGCGTGCATGTGTGCATCTGTACATTAACACATGCACACACACGTATGTGATTATGCATAACCTATGCAAAACGAAACGTACAGTACGGTCGTGTGTCATATACACACGCACATCTCTTCTTACACAGGAATATATCATTGTGCATGTATGCATATACGCCTGTATGTATGCATACACGTTTGTAGTTGTGCGTATGTATGCATATATATATATATATGTATACATGTCGACGTATACATGTATGTATGTATGTATGTATGTTTGCATCCATGCATGCATGTATGTATGTATGGACGTATACGTATATGTATGCATGTGTGTATGTATAGCTGTATGTATGTGTGTATGTGTGTAACTTGTGGGTACGGATTGCTTGTATGCATGCATGTATGAATGCATGCATGCATGCATGTATGTATGTAATGTATGTGTGCACGTACTGTAGTGTATGCTTGCATGCATGCATGTCTGTCTGTCTGCCTGTCTGCCTGTCTGTCTGTCTGTCTGTCTATCTATATGTCTGTCTGTATGTCTTTATGTCTTCATGTCTGTAGCTCTGTATGCCTGTATGTCTGCATGCTTGTATGTATGTCTGTATATATACATGTAAGTATGTGCGTATGTGCGTATGTATGTATGTATGTATGTATGTATGTATGTATGCATGCATGCATGCATGCATGGATGTATGTATGTATGTATGTATGTATGTATGTATGTATGTATGTATGTATGTATGTATGTATGTAATGTATGTAATGTATGTAATGTGCGTAATGTATGTATGTATGTATGTATGTACGTATGTATGTATGTATGTATGTATGTATGTATGCATGCATGCATGCATGCATGCATGCATGCATGTATGTATGTATGTATGTATGTATGTATGTGTGTATGTATGTGTGTATGTTCGTGTATGTATGTACTCATGTATTCATGCATGCCTGTCTGTCTGCCTGTCTGTCTGTATGTACGTACGTGTATATATATATATATATATATACATGTGCATATATGTATGTGTGTGTATATACATATGTATACATCTATTTGCTTCCTGACAGGTCGCCGTACATTTTTCCTCAGTTCGGTAAGTGAGCGGGTTGGGTCGGCTATTTCGCTCGGTCGTTTGTGAGATTCGGGGTCGGAGCTGCTGAGGCTTGTCAGGAGGCCTCTTGAGGCCTCAGCAGGAGCCCTCTGGGGGCCGTTTGGGGCCTCTTGAGCCTCTGGGGCTCCTCTGGGGGGCCTCTTGAGGGCCTGCTTGCGGTCTCGAGGGCCCCCGGAGGGCGTCCATCCGGCAGGCCGCCGTCGGCGGCGGCGACGACGGCGCGCCCACGGCGCCGACCCGCCCCTGGCAGGGGCCTCTGCGGCGCCAGGCTTGCGCGCCCCGAGCCACAGGCGGGGGCCTCGGGGCGCCGGCTGCCGCCGGCCGCCGCCGGCCTCGCGTTGGACTGCGCTGGCGCGGCCGTCGCCGCCGCCACCGTCGGGTGCGGCCAACCAGGACGACCGCGGGGGGGTGCTACAAGGCGATCGGGGGTTGGAGAAGGTTTCTGTGGCCTTTTTCGGCCTCGGGGGGCCGTTTGCGGGCGCCAGGGCCGTTATACATGGATATCCGGGGTGAAAGATTGGACCAGGTGGGCCCCGGAGGGGTCCGGGGACCAATTTTGAGAGGATTTGGTCTGTCTGGGATGATCGCGGGAGTTGCTAAGGGGATAAGGGCCGGGGGGGTCTTACGTGGATGCCGCGTTGGTTCTGCCTGGCCCAGCCTGGCTTATCAGTGGGGCGCGAATGCCCAAAGTGGCTCAGGGGAGTTCGCGTTGGGCCAAGTGGGCTCCGCCCACTTAGCGGAATTACCTAACCCCCCTGAGCCATTTGGGGCATTGGTAACCCACAGATGAGCCAGATTGGGCCAGATATAACCACCTTGGCATCCATTTATAGCTCCACTATCCTGGCGTTGCGATTTTTTCAGAACGGGCGTTTTCGCCCAGCTTTGGCCCTGGGGCTCTCACAGGGTCTGGGGCTCCAGAGATGTTTTTGTGGCGATGCTGTTTTTTTTGGGGGGGGCAGCAACATATTTGCTGGGGGTGATGACTCGGGGGGTGGATCTCATGGCCAGGGCCATGGTATCTCCTCAGTTTTCATTGCCCCTGTTCTTCTTTCAACTCCGTCCCGTCGCTCCCCCCCGCTGGGCCGCGCACGTGGGCGACGCAAAAAAACGGTGTCGACTGCGCCGACATTGGCGCGTAAGCTGCCCGCGTAAGCTCGCGCGTAAGCGCCCTCGCTTCCAGTGCAGTGTGCCGCACTGGCGGCCCGCGGAAGCCGCGGCGTAAGGTCGCTGTGCCATCTCGCGTGGGACCCCTTTCTGATCGTCGCCCACGTGGCTCGTGCCATGATTTGCGAACCCCCCTCCTGGACGCCCCCTCTTAGACGCTCCCGACACCACCGTCGGAGGGCCTTTGAACCGGGACCTCCAATGCAGTGAAACGTTCCTTGCGGAGGTTCTTCGTTGTTCTCGGCCTCCTGGGGCTCTCACCAGGCCCCAGGACCTTCAGAAAACGATTGAATCGTTTTCTGAAGGACGTACACGTACACGTACTCGCACACGAGAGGACGAAGGACGAAGGACGTACACGTACACGTCCACGTCCACGTCCACGTCCACGTCCACGTACACGTACACGTACACGTACACGTACACGTACGCGTACACGTACACGTACACGTACATGTACACGTACACGTACACGTACACGTACACGGACACGTACATGTACACGTACACGTACACGTACACGTACAAGTACACGTACACGTACACGTACACGTACACGTACGCGTACTTGTACACGTACACGTACACGTACACGTACACGTACACGTACACGTACACGTACACGTACACGTACACGTACACGTACACGTACATGTATTTGTACACGTACATGTACATGTACATGTACATGTACACGTACATGTACACGTATTCGAATGAGTGCATAAAAAGTACATGGAGGACGTACATGAAGGACGTACACGTACATTCGCGAAAGAAGGACGTACACCTCATACATCTAAGTTGGTCTCGAATGTACACATTTCGCGAACGTTCGTATCACGCGGCTGGTTTTGCATATTGGGGGCCGTATTCATGCACCTGGTTTGGCGCGTACGTCCTTTGTGGGCTCCCTGGACTCAAGTGGCCAAGCCGACCCCTGGGGAGCTGGTCTGGACTTCTGGGGATCCCGCACGGAAAAGACAATGCATCGAATCTCTGGGAAGGCCTCCAGAGGGCCCTCGAGGGCCCTTCGGAGGCACTCTAGCGTTGTGGAGGACGATCAATGGAGATGAAGCATGTTGCCAAATAATTTCCAGATGTCTAGAACATGTGTTACAACTGCTTTAAACATGTAGAAAACATGTTTTAAACACATCCAGGGAGTTTTCCGACAATTTAAACACATGTTTAATTCGATGATAGGACCGTTAGGGTGTCCATTGTCGTGGCATCCACAACTCTAGAGTTCTCCAGGGGGGGCCTCGGGAGGTCTCCACGGACCCCCCTGGACTTCTGGAGGCCTGCAGGGAACTCTGGAGGCGGCGGTCGCCGCCCTCGGCGCCGCCGCCGTCGATCGAGAGTCGAGGACTGGGGGTCGAGGACCGAGGATCGAGAGCGGAGGATTGAGGATCGAGGGTGAGGATCGATGATCGAGGATGATAGTGTGAGAGCGAGGAGGAGGAGGAGGAGGAGGAGGAGGAGGAGGAGGAGGAGGAGGAGGAGGAGGAGGAGGAGGAGGAGGAGGAGGAGCTGCGAAGGTTGGTTCTTCGACGCTTGCGGCCTCGGGAGCCCGTGTTTTCGGGCCCCAGGACAGTAGGGTAACGATCAAGGACGGCCAGCCAGATCTTGGGTCTGGGAGCAGAGGACAAGATTTCTAGGGAGCCGACGCAGGAGGAGAGGGGCATTGTGATGTGATGGTGATGATGATGCTGATGCTGATGCTGATGCTGATGATGATGATGATGATGATGATGATGATGAGGTTGATGATGGTGTTGGTGATGATGCTCATGATGCTTCTGATGACGATGCTAATGATGATGCTGATACTGATGCTGATGCGGATGTTGAAGCTGATGCTGATGATGCGGTTGCTGCTGATGATGATGTTGTTGATGATGATGACGATGCTGATGCTGACGCTGACGTTGATGGTGATGCTGATTGTGATTGCGATTGTGATGGTGATGGCGATGGTGATGATGATAATGATGATGATGTTGCTGTTGTTGATGATGGTGATGCTGTTGATGATGATGATGGTGATGGTTATGATGATGATGATGCTGATGATGATGATGACAATGCTGATGATGATGATGATGATGATGCTGATGCTGATGCTGATGATGATAATGACGATGTTAACGATGATGGTGATGGTGATGGTGATGGTGATGATGATGCTGCTGCTTCTGATGCTGATGCTGATAATGCTGCTGATGCTGATGCTGGCAAGGATGATGATGGCGGTGTTGGTGATGTTGATGTTTGTGGTTGTGGTGATGCTGATAACGGTGGTGGTGGTGATGGTGATGGCGATGGTGATGATGGTGGTGAGGATGATGCTGTTGTTGATGATGATGCTGATGATCATGCTGGCAGTGCTGATGATGATGAAGATGATGATGAGGATGATGATGGCGATGATGCTGATGCTGACGATGATGATGATGATGATGATGATGATGATGATGTTGTTGTTGTTGATGAGGACGATGATGATTCTGCAGATGCTGATGTTGATTTTGCTGATGATGATGCTGCTGATGCTGATGCTGATGCTGCTGCTGCTGATGATGATGATGCTGATGATGATGACGGCTATGGTGATGGCGATGCTGGAGTGGTGGTGGTGATGGTGGAGGAGGAGGGAGCGCTGGAGAATACCCATCGCTCGTTGACAAGTTTTTGTGGATTCCCCAAACTCGATTTACTGTAGGTGCTTTCCTACTTCACGAGTCGAGTGCTTTTCCCTCTTTTCTCCTCTAGGGGGCGGCGGGTGAACACCCAACATGCTCTCAACGCCTTCCTACTTCAGATGTTTCTGTCCTTTTCATTCCGACCGATGAACCATCGAGGATCGAGGATCTGCAGTTTTGCGCTTTTTCGGTCCTCTCCAGATGCCTTCGGAGGTTTCCGCGGACCCCTCAAGGCCTGCCGGGGGGTCGGGGGCCACCGAGGGTGCCCGCCGTTCGGCCGATTCGGCTTCGTTGCACTCGGGCACGTTCGGTCTGCTCGGTCCAGTCGATTTGTCCTCTGGAGACGGAGGAGATGGCGATATCGTTGCCCGTCCTGGAGAGCCCTCGTCTCCACGCTGGATTCTCCCCGAAATGCCCGTCAGAACGCAGCTGCGCCGCCGCGCCCTTCCAGGCTGCCTGCCGGGGTGTCGTTTTCCGTCGCTCTGCGGCTCCGCCGTCGGTTGTCAGTCGGTTTCCAGCTGTGCCTGTTGCCACGGGCGGCCTTGGGATCGAGGATCGATGGTCAAAGTGTACTGGGCTGCCTGGGCATTTGTGGGCCTCTGGTAGTGCCTTCGTGGCCACGGCGCTTCATCCGCTTAACGCGCCGCAGGACACGTCCAGCGGCCGTCGCCGCCGCCGCCGCCGTCGTCGTCGTCGCCGCGAGGTTCGAGGTCCGAAAACGTTTCGCCTCATTTGGCCTCTGGAGGTTCTGGTGTGGATCCCAGGGCTGTCAATAAGTCGCTGCGGGATGAGAAACCAGCCAGGGTAGGCACGGGGAGGGGTCTGGAAATTGATTTTGGGAGAATGTCGATGGGACGTCGGCGTAGTCGTCGTCGCAGCCAGCGTCTCTGGATGGCCTCGGGAGGTCTCTGGGGATCTCCATGGATTCCTGGGGGTCTCCGTGGATCTCTAGAGGCGGCGGTCGCCGTTGTCGTCGTCGCTGTCGTCGTCTCTGTCGCCGTCGCCGTTCCCCGTCGCCGTCGCCGTCGCCGTCGCCGTCGCCGTCGCCGCTGCCGTTGCCGTCGCCGTCGCCGTCAAAGCTCGGGTGTTCTCACCACTAGGAAAACTGAAACACGACAAGAGAAAACTGAAACACGACAAGGCACGTCTTATTCACGACAAGCATTTTTGGCGCCCACTTTCGCCGCCCACTTTCGGCGCCCACTTTCGGCGACCACTTTCGGCGCCCACTTTCGCCGCCCACTTTCGGCGCCCACTTTCGGCGCCCACTTTCGCCGCCCACTTTCGGCGCCCACTTTCGGCGCCCACTTTCGCCGCCCACTTTCGCCGCCCACTTTCACCGCCCACTTTCGCCGCCCACTTTCGCCGCCCACTTTCGCCGCCCACTTTCGGCGCCCACTTTCGCCGCCCACTTTCGC